TTAAAAAATTATTTTATATGGATTTATTTACAAAATTCAAATAAATTATTTTTCACACAAGATCCTTCCCATTTCCTTCACATACCTCCACCCATCAAACTGTGCAACCCCATGATTAACACTCCATCTCCCACCCATTCTCACTCTTCTGCTTCCATGCTCTCCCACAATCCCCTTGTATCCTCATGCTCATTCTACAAGAATGGTTTTATACAGTATTTGTCCTTGTGGGACTGAGTTAGTTCACTCAGCATAATGCTCTCTAGTCCCTCCCAAGTTAGGTTGTACAAAATGATTGCTCCTGCATGCTGCACAATATTCTATTATATGAATGTACCACAACTTCTTAATCTATTCCTTTGTGGTTGGACATCTGGGCTTTTTCCATGTTCTTGCAATAGTGAATAATGCTGCTATGAACATTGGTGCACAAGTTTCCACTTGAACCCCAGTTCTCTTTTTCTTGGGGTATATTCCAAGCAATGGAATATCTGGGTCATATGGAATTTCTATGTTCAGCTTTTTGAGGAAGCACCAAACTACCTTCTAGAGTGGTTGTACCTTTTTACAATCTCATCAACAATGTTTAAGAGTTCCTATCTTGGCACATTCTCTCCAACATTTATTACTTGCTGTCCTGTTAAACTTTACCACTTCTACTGGAGTGAGATGGTATCTCATTGTGGTTTTGATTTACATCTCTCTTACTGTCAGTGATTTTGAACATTTGTTCATGTGTCTGTTTGCCATTCGAATATCTTCCTCTGAAAATTCTTTTCATGTCTCTTGCCCATTTTGTAATTGAGTTATCAGTCTTTTTCTTGTGGAGGCTCAGGAGTATTCTGTAAACATTTATTATTAGACCTTTGTTTGAGATGGTATCATCCAGTCAGTAGGTTTTCTTTTCATCCTGCTAGAAAAAGTTTTGATACGCACAGATATTTGATCTTTAGACGGTCCCATTCATCATTTTTTCCCTCTTCTTTATTTCTGGCTCTATTTATCAGTCTCTTTATAACACAGACTAGGCCTTCTAAGCTTGACCCCAGTTTGTCTCTTAAGAACTTTATGGTTTTGGGCTTTACTTCTTCCAGTTCTCTTGATCTACCTTGAGGTGGTTTTTGTGTATGGTGTGAGATGTGGATCCTGGTTCAGCTTCTGAAGGTGGCAGTACAGTTTTGCCAGCACCATTTGTTGAAGAAGTTGTCATTTCCCCATTTGATAGCTTTGATTTCCTTGTCTAATATCAGTTGACCATAGATAGCTGGGTTTAATTCTGGGTTCTCAATTCTGTTCCATTGGTCTATGTGCCTGTCATTGTACCAGTACCAAAAAAAAATATGGAATGCTTCATGGATTTGCATATCATCCTTGTGCAGGGGCCGTGCTAATATTCTCTGTATCATTTCAATTTATATATATGTGCTGCCAAAGCAAGCACTTTTTAACAGTAATTTTTCAGGCTTTTTAACCTCAGTGTAATTATACTATAGGCATTATTTTACTGTAACTAAGTGGTTTAGAAAATAGCCTTCTGATGTTTGAGCCCATTTAGTTTCTTTTTAAAGTTATCCTCTGTCCAGACAATAACTATATGTGTGTATATTAGAATGTATGCACAGTCTAGATTAACTAAAATCCATTTTTAGCACATTTACATATTTTAAGAAAAACTGGGTAGCAAACATAAACCAATCTCCATTAAAGTCTAATGTGACACTTTGCACCCCAATAGGACCATAAAAATATAGGGAAGTACCTCTAGAAGTTAAAGACAACTTCATAGCCTGAATAGGGACACACCTACGTGCTTTATTATTCTTTGAGTCTAATCTGCTTGGGGCAACATTTGCACTTTATCAGAAACTTTAATGGGAAAAGATTGTTAGTGACAGATCAGGAAGTCAAATCAATGTTTGGGGCAAATTGTCATATGTCTCCACCTTCAGAAAGATTTTAGGTGAGGAGTTTCTTCGCTGAGTTCTTTCAACTAGTACAACATATTGGGGGTGTCACATGCAAAATATAATCAAAATTCATGCTGTTTCATTATTATTACTAATAGGATAACTCTCTGATGTCTAGGCACCTTGATGAATAAGATGGAAACATGGAGTTTCATTTGCTTCCTGTCAGATTAGGAAACAATCACTGTGCTTTCCAGAACTTTGAGAATGTGCTGTGGCAACTGAGGAAACTAGTAACTTTGGAGCTGCCTCTGTATAGTGCTAATGAAATAGATACTCAGAAATAAAGACCTATCTCCAAAGACCACCAGCAAAATCTCTTTATGGAAGCACCCAATGTTCTGGCAAATAATGTCATTAGTATGTAAAAATAATGACCAACCTTTTACAGGGAATTTACAAGTATTTTGGAGCTCCGACATTATATTGTATTACATGTTGTGCTGCTTACTGAAAGGTCAGGGTTCAAATCTACCATTTGCTCTAAGAAAGAAAGAAGTCTCTTCCCCTAAATATTTCTTGCCTCAGGAACTTAATGGAGGGTCATTATGAGTCAAAGTTGACTTAATGACAGTGAATTTGCTTTTTGGCATAAGTCATTTAGAGGAATTATTTCACTATATTCTCACAATAACTAAAAGTTCATAAATAATTTTAAGGTTGAGAAAGAATCATAGAGACATGTATCTGGTTGGGTTTTTGTTTTTTAAATACACATACTAGGAAATGGTAATGTACGCCTTTGAAATTATAGTTCAAAGAATTTAAGTGTGCGAGTTCTTAATCACTTATGTGTGATTCTAACATCTCTTTTTCTATTTTAAAAAATTTTTAGCATGAATAATTTGAATTTACTCTCTTAAATTTAAGGTTCTGAAAATCTAGGCATTATATAATTTAGTTTATACTAAAGAAGGGATGTTGTTGTTGAGCGCCATCGAGTCATAGACAACTCATAGCGACCCTATGAATGAAAGATCTAAATACTTTTATAACTTTGATCATTTCTCCAAGTTCATAGAGTTTCCTGAGGCAAGCTATTTTGGAAATGGATGCAACTCCTGCTTCCAAGCTTGCTATAATTGGGGAGCTCCATCAAACGCTGTCCACCATGGGTAACCATTATCGTATTTGACACATCAGTGTCACAGTGTTCAGCATCACAGCAACCACAAGTTCCTTTTGTATAGCAAATGGGCAGACCAGTGCTATACTATTTAGAGGAATGTTTGACTAAAACCAATTAAAACTAGGTTCCAGGGCCCAAATTAATTTTCACAGAAACAAGTCTTATATCCTGGGCTCTCATTGGCCAGAAAAGTGGCTTCTTGTCAAGAAATCATTCTATAGCCAGGCTCTAGCCTGCATAGAGATACAAAGCCAGGGAAGGGATTGTCCACTTAATAAAATATGCTGATAGAAACAACACTATATGATAGGACTAAATAATCATTTTAAAGGGATGTATGTGTAATTCAATGTGCTTCACATTCCAGAAGAGATGAAATATTTCAGTAGATAATCACAAGATATTTTAGGAACATTAAATCATTTCTCTAAAACTTAGCTTGTTTAGAAGGAAGTAATTTGAAATGCAGAGTTTTGTGGATGACAGTATGTTTCCTCTCTAATTGTTCTAGAAAGGTTGGTTAATGATGTATGGTGATATTTGTTTTTATCATTGAATCTCATCTAGATCAAAGACAATTTCTGTCTATACATTTACTATAAATAACAGTCATACCTATGTAAACAGTCTGATGATTCAATAGAAAATTATGATGAACTAGGTGAAATCATCGTGACTAGCAATAGTGATAGTAATGTGAAACTATCACATTGGTCCAGGGAAACACTCAGGGAAAACCATCTCCATTCCCCATAATGAGAGAAAGACATTTTATTTATCTATCACTGTCCTATGCTTTGTATTTGACCAGCCTATGCAATTATTTCTCTTATAATTTCTCTCAAGATGATCTGAGGGCAGTGAACAAGGTATATGTTTAATGTTCCACATATATTGCACCTTACTTTTATAAGATCATTTAAAAAGAAAATTAAGATATTTCAATTTGGAAAAACCCACTAGAGATTTATATTCAAGGCCAAGGGTAGGAATGGCTACAAAATCCTTGTCATACACCTCCCCTCCTCCATTCATAGTGTATGGATCCAAGATCTTTATACAGATAATTTTGCTTAAATCCATACCAATCTTGTGATTTTGTAGTAATGTTCTAATTTTACAATTTAAAAAAAGGTGAGGCACATAAAACGTAAGAAATAGTTTAAGATCATCTAAATCAGAAGTGGCAGAACATTAGTTTAATTCTTGAAGTTTTAACTGCAAAATTATTTTTTCATTTATCTCTATACTCAGTAAAATTATAAGAAGGAACAGATGAATTTAATAGTTTTAAGACTGTCATACATCGTGGTATGAATCTACTATGAATCTACTTTAAATAGGGAAAACCTTTGTTATGATTCCACAAAACATCCCCTTTCCAATGAGGCCTTTGACTTTGAATATCCATAGGTTCCAAATCCCATTTGGAAAATATTTTTGCTGATGAAACTAGTTGCTCCCTTTGAGTCTTTATGTTTTGTGTGTTGCATTTAACAGCTTCCTTACAAGTGATTGGACCTTCCCAGCCCATCATTGTCAGAGTGGGAGAAGATACACAGTTAACCTGTTACCTGTTTCCCAAGACTAATGCACAGAACATGGAAGTGAGATGGGTCAGAGTCCACAGACATCCTGCTGTTTATGTGTATATGGATGGGAATCATGTGATTGGAGAACAAATGGAAGAATACAGAGGGAGAACAGTGTTGCTGAGTGATGACATTGATGAGGGGAAGGTGATTCTCAACATCCACAGTGCAAAGGTGTCAGATGATGGGCAGTACCGATGCCTTTTTGAAAAAGATGGTGTTTACCAGGAGGCCAGCTTGGATTTGAAGGTAGCAGGTGAGGAATCTAGACAAATTATTTTGATTCAATGACATTTATATCTGAAGTTTTCATAATACATATTCAGTCTTCAAATCTATATTGTTGTTCTGCCCACGAAATACCCCTCAAAGGAGATCCAATCGCACATCTGAAAATTTTAAGAGCGTTTATTAACTCCATATGTGGAGACTTTCTCCCTCTGTAAGATGGTGGCAAGGGGAAAAGCTCCGAATCCCCCCTCCCAATTGCTTTTATAGCTTTTTTGGGGTGCCCTGTCAGGGCAGGGGGATTGAGATCATGGTTGGTGGGTCAGGGGATCAGTCATGTCGGTCGGCTTTTGATGGGCTGGCTATTTTGCCTGCCTTTACTCCTTCTGTGTCACACAGACACTAGTTAATTCTTTACTTTGCAAGGACAGACAAGACTTTCATTCATGTTTGCCTTAAGCGAAGAATTTTTATGGCCTGCTTCTGCTTCTGGCATTAATGGGGGTTTATAAAAAAATGGGGTTTTTGCTGTCCCTTCAATTGTATCTTCCAATGTTCAGTAAGAGTAGTACACAAAGTTTAAAAAGTTAAGAAGATTGAATTGCATATTATTCAATAATTTAAGTATTTGGTTATAGAACTTATTCCCTTCCTAGTATTTCCAGAAAGTGACAATGCTGATAAATGCAACAATCTTACTTAACATGAACTTTTGCTCTCTACTAATTTAATAAAACCCAACACTCTTTATGCCTTTTTTTCTTTTTTGTCATCTATTCATATGACATACTGAACCTCTGATTAGTCTGACATACTTGAGATGCCTAAAGAATTTTCTGATTAGATGAGAAAATGCAACCACAGCAATTTTATTATTTTGTTTCTTAAACCATGTGATTGTTGTTGTTACATACCCATGAGTCAGAGCCTATTCATTGTTGACCCCCTGGGGGTTTTCAGAGGTAAATCCCAAAAGAAGAGTTTCCCTAGGTTTGTCTTATGAAACAGCTAGTGGGTTCAAATTTCTTGCATTAAGTGAGCAGTGCAACTTCTTACAGCTAAACCACCAACAGTTTGTTTATTTATTTATTTAAAATATTCAATGGACTTTATTATAGATCTGGGGGAGCAGTGAGATTTATCTCAAAAATTGCTTCCTTATTTGAGTGGTTATCTGTTACAGATCGAGGATAAAGTATTTTTAAAAGTATTAATAATGAGACAGAACACAAAAAATGTATGAGAAAAGAGAGGTAAACAGTTCTGGAACAACTGAAGCAAACTGAAGCCAAATTCCAGCTTCCCTGTATCTTTGTTGAAAATTGCCAGTTAGCAAATCACAAAGAGAATTCAATGCAAATGAAACTAAGCCCTTTCTATAGAAAACCTTCTGCTTGATTCAGGAGGGAGTGGTTAGCAAATGCAATGCAAGAATTCTGTAAACTCTTAAAGATTGCCTTAGTGTCTACCCCTGTAAACATTTAAGGATTGCCTTAGTGCTTCAGGATGAATCCCAGCTGGTATCAGCCTCTCTTATAACCTGAAGCAGCATTTGGTTTATTACAAATATTTAGTAGGTAATTTGGCTTCCCGTAGTCATCAGTTTTTATACTTGGATTAAGTGTTACAGTTCCTAGTAAATAAATGGTTTGTGATATAGTTTGTATATGACTGAGAAGGACATCTTCAAAGAGAGAAATACTACTCTAATTACATATAATGTGAGGAAAATATCTTCAAAGAGATAAATGCTCATTCAAT